ATTAGGCAGGGCCCGAACATGAAAGATTTCGGCCAACTCAAAACGGCTCGGAGACGTACGAGTCCGTACTCAGAAAGTAAGGTCCTCACATATGATTAATAAACCTATTAAAAGTTTGCACTCGGCAAAACACTATCGTGTATGACTAAAAAATTCAAGAATCTTTAAAGTCTTCATTTTTTATCGAGTATTTCAAAGCCCTTATCAACTCAGAGTTATCATCGAAACTGGGTCCCATCAGGGCTTGGGAAAATGAACACTCTAGATTATGTCCAATTTTATGCTAAGGCATTAATGACAATCTTCAAATAAAAGGTTGCAAATAGATATTGAAAAATAAAAGACATAGTATAGCCGAAAGGAAAATTTTATATATTCCAAAAGTATTTACAGAGGCATGATAAAATGACCTCAAAATGAACAAAAAGAAATGTACAAAAGAAAACGAAAAATGACCTAAGGCATCTCCGCCTAACCTTCACCAGAACCCGACTCGATACCGGAACCCTCGGGCTCATATAACTCTTTAGCTTCATCCTCGAGCCTCTTGGCTTTTTCAATCTCGGCCGACAGGTCGAACCCCCGGGCATAAATCTCCTCGAGGGTCTCCCTCCGAGATATCCGCTTTACGTACTCGGCCATTTCTATTAAGCAGGCCTCGGCTATTTCCATGTCATTTTTATATAAAAACAGCATCTCCTCAACCTCGAAGGAGTCGGTCAAAGTTGTCTCTAACTTGGACTTCAACGCGATATATTCCCGGCTGAGGTCGTCCCGTTCCGAAATGGCCGAGCTCAGCAGTGCTCGGAGTTCATCATTTAGCCGAGACCGTTTGTCTGCCTTATCCTCTGTCACTCGGAGCTGGTAATTGACCGATGTCAAATCCTCTTTGGTGGCCTTCTTTTCTGAGGCCATAAGGTCCATCTTTCTCCCCAGTATCTCGACCGAAGCTTTGGGCTCATCCATCTCGGTCTGCAGCTGGTCGATCAGGTCTATCTTCTTTTGGATATGCGAGCGTTAGCTGCTACGCGTAATCTCTTATTTTTAATATCAAATTTCCTTATCTTCTCGGACAATTTGGCATGGTCTTGTTTCGCGGACGAAGCCTCCCTTTGAGCTTTTTCCAGCTAAGCTTGGAGAATGGGGAGATACCTGAGGACCTCGTCCTTTTGCTCGCTGAGAGCCTTGTATATATCCTTTTGCTGGACTTGCTCTTTGAGCTCGAACTCGATCTAGCTGACTTCCATCCGAGATCGATGGAAGCTTTCATGATGAAGCACCGACGCCTAAAAAATAGATTTATGAAATCATGAACATACTTTGAAGTTAGATGAGTTACATAAAGGGCACAAGAAAAGGGAAACTTACTCGGTTCAGTGCATGTGGTGCCTCGTTGAAGAGGCTCGAAGTGCCCACCTCGTTCATCTTCACTTGATCCTCTTCGGTTACCAAGCAGCAAAGATAATTGATCATACTAACTGGTTCGGACAACACCCGGGTATCCGCCAGGATCGTAAACATAACCGTCCTTTTGCGGTCGGGATCTACACTCAAAACAGGGAACTGCTTCACCAGCTTCGGGCTCGATCTCAGCCCGCCCGCTTGTGAGGGCACGTCTATTTTAGGGATCTCCAGGTGACCGAACCCAGGGTAATCCTCTAACGCGTCGATGTCCATACAATCGAAGAAAAGGTTAAGCGCTTCATCTACGGTCCATGCCATCTAGTTTGGATTTTTCCTTGATGACCTGAGCCTCGCCGAATTAGGACTCTGTATGGGACGACGATTTCGTGATGTCAATGACACTGACGGCTTCACTCGAAACAAGGTTAGTTTCTCAGAAGACCGTGGTTACTGGTTTTCCTTCTGACTCCCGAGCTAAAGAAGGGTCGGCCTCTCGGTCACTTCCCCCGGGAGCTGCCCGCTCTTCTTCATCAATGGCCAACCCATGGGCGATGAACTCTAAGTCTTCATCTTCAGGGTAATCCCTAAGCCGGTAAAGGGAGTCGGGGTCCGGTACCCTAGCCCGGGTACTCTTCTTGCTTTTCGGGCCCGGACCGTTACCCTCTTCTTCTTGGATTTGGCATCTGGGGAACCAGAAGACTTTATCTTTCTTTTCTTCTCAGCAGCTTTGAGTTGTCCCGAAATAGAGGTTTTATCGGGTAAGGACGAAGCCTCGTCCTCGTCCAAAGCCCGGAGCTCGGTACTTTTGGGCAAACCTATGAAAGAAAGAGAGGGATTTAGAGAAAAACAGTTGAATATGTAAGTAAATTGGTCGAGAAAAGCACTCACCATGGGAACGGGCCTCCCCTTTGCCTTTAGAGAGCTTGCGCCATTCACGCTCAGAGTACGACATCTGCGTACAGATCCCCTCGATCGACTCTTTGAAGCAGAGAACTGCGTTGGGGATTTGGGCAACTGCTGCACAATGGTATAACCAAGTGTTAAGGAGGAAAAACTAAATCCCAAAAGAAATTCTAAGTACTCAAAATGGAGAAGGACTTACGGGCTAGGTTCCACTTTTCAGGGAATGGTAAGAACTTAGAGGAGATGAGATCCTCTGTTTTAACCCGAATGAATATTTCTTGCCATCCTTGATCCTTATCTTCGTCGATGCTTGAGAATGGAGCTTTCTCGCCCGACGAACGAGCTTGATCAATCCCTATCAGAAGACTCGGGGATTGTAGAGACTAAGTAGATGTCGAGGCTAAATCGAGGAGCTTCGGTGTTATTGACAAAGTGGCGGAGGAGGATCATGATCCTCTAGAAGGACGGATGGATATGCTCAAGGCAGACCTCGTACCTTTTGCAAAAATTGAGGACAACGGGGTCCACGGGGGCAAGTGTGAAGGGGTGTGTGTAAATACTTAGGTACCTCTCCACATATGTGGTGATGTCCTCGTTAGGATCGGGGACGACCACCTCCTTACCCTCCCATTTGCAGTCCTCTAAGATCGTAGGGAGCGTATCCTCGGTAATAGAGCATATGTACCTTCATACCTCCTTGCCTCGATCGTGTTGACTGGAGGCTTTTTCAACTTTGAAGTCACTTTCGATAGAGCAGCCTCCGGGGATAATGTTCTTCAGGGATGGTTCCGGGGCCACCTCAAGTACGGCCACCCCAACGTCTGTGGCCGGATTGAAAGTTGAAGGGACGGTCTGTTGAGGTATAAATTTCGAAGTCTTCACCATCGAGTTCTAAGAAACATAATGATTTAAAGGTGAGGATGGAGATTTGAAGATGAAGATGATGGTTTGAAGGTCAAACTTGAAAATTTAAAGATGGAGTATGAAGATTTTAAGATGGGAAGATGTAAGTATGAAGATATATGGAGCGATGTATGAAGATTTGAAGGGGCTAAGAATAGGTGAAAAGTTCGGGGGTAAATTAAGGAGTTCTGGAATCATAAAGTAAAAAAGTGAAAAGGACCGAAGATTTTATAGAGAGGGAGTAATCAATGCGTGACGTTTCGCATTCGAGGACAGTCAACCAGCAACTGACACATGTCCGAAGTCAGAGCGACGCGATTGATAGGACGTTTCGCTGACCCATCAACACGGTTATAGCATATGAAAGAAGGAAGCGGTGTCAATTAGTCGCTTCCCGTTGCTTCGATAAATCTGCTCTCCGAAAAGCGAGGGAACTATCTGTGTACGGGTAAAATCGAGGGCAAAGTTTTTCGCGATAAGGAAACAGGGGGGAAGCACGATTTGACGCAACTACAAGTAAGGCCGAAGGATCCGTCGTATCGAAACTCGGGAGGAGTGAACGATGTATCTAGGATCGGGCACGGCAGAATAACGGACCCAAACTAACTAAAATTGTGAGACCACGGGAAAAGGAGGAACGGTTGATCGTGATAAGGAAGGAGTCGTAATATTCGCCTTCAACCGGATATTGCGGCGCGGATCCCGTTTGATATCAACTGCGGATTGGTATTTACCGGGAAAAGAAGATTTTTTTACCTTATTTAGACTTGTATTAGAACTAAAATTTCTCTACTATATAAAGAGGAGAATTCTTTTATTTTAAGGACACTGTTAACACGTATATCAAAGTAATACAAGTTCATTTTTATCTTCTAGCTATTATTCAAAGTGTTCTCCAGTTATTCCCTTCTTGAATTGCAACCGAGCTCATATCGAGGGTTCGATCGAGACCAAATTTCAGTATTCAACTTGAGACCAGGCTTGATTATTACTTTGCGATTGGTTTTGCCGGTTATTCTCTCTTTAATTTAATTATTTATTGTTCTTAGATCATTCGTATTGAATTAAATCACGTATCGTTAAAATCGCGTACAAATTTAATTATTGCTCATTTTTTAAGAGTAAACAGCCTCCTCGAAGCTTGGCCAAACATACTATGTTACTTTTAAGAAAAACTAAATTCTTGAATCCTAGATTCATTTTTTTCTTCCTTTTGCCCTTTTGAGTTTTGCTTTCACTTTTCTATATTCAGTATGAAATAATACGTTGGTTTTCAAGTAATTTAACTGGTTATCCAAATTAAATAATCAAATATAATCAACTTGGCACACTTTATGGATTTGATTTAAGGTATAATACATTGATAAAAGAGACATTTTTATACTATCAACGAAATTTAATCTATGATAACAAATACATTACTACTTTTACTAAGTTACAAGTAATAATTAATTATACTAACAATCACCTTGATTAATATTTAATCTGATTTGTGTAATTAGCTATTTTATACTGTCAATGCATACTCATACTAACTTATGGCCTACTTCGGACAGTGGAGTTCTAGTTTATGGAGTGAACAAATTTTGGATTCTCGCCAGGAAGCTACCTCGTCCTCTTTTACTGAATGATGTGTCACATCATCATTTGTAGTAGCATTATTTCTGTTCCTTGTGTCTGTAGAGAAAAGAACAATTTACTACCTCTATTATCAGCTGTCAGCTTCAAGTTGTACAGTTGGGGCATGGCCATTTGCTTTAACCAATCTATAATACATCTTATTTTACAAACTTCAAATTGTAAAAACCACCGACTCAAAACTTCTTAGTCCCTCTTAGCACCTCACTATATATGTCACTCTCTTTATTTATGTATAGCCTTGTCCAATTGGAGAGTTGTAGACTAGTGCGCTAAACTGTGGACTGTCAATCTCTGATTCAATTCACTTCAATTAAAGCAGTTTCGACATTTAAAAATGGAAGTATAAATTGAAGAAACTCCTTGAAGGTGTTCCATTATATTAAGATGGGATTTGTGGACTTGTTCGTCGTGGCATTAGTGCCTGTTCTGAAAACTCTCATAATTACTGCTGTTGGCTTGTTCCTTGCTTTGGAACGTGTCAATCTCCTTGGCTCTGCTGCAAGGCACTATTTGAACAATGTAAGTTTTCTCCTCAAGTTCTTAATTCTTGAAAACAAAAAAAGTTTATATTCTGTCCACCGGCCAGCAATTTCTGTGCACAGATCATGTATAAATAATTCATTCTTCATTCAACCTCACAATTGTTGGTAAGAAGTCAGAAATTGGGCATAGAATAAAGAGTGCTGGCCTTTAACTTTCTTTCTTTTTTCTCTTAAATGCAGCTTGTGTTCTATATTTTCACTCCTGCGTTGGTAGCTAGCAGCTTGGCTGAAACAGTAACATCGAGCAACATTGTTTCATTGTACGTAGCTAGGTTCATTTTAATTTCTTTATGCAATTTGTAATACATTTTTGTGGCCCTTGAAGTTTGTTTTACTCAATATTAATTACTCCTAGTTGTTATATGTTTGGTTTTATGTGTAGATGGTTCATGCCCGTGAACATCCTTCTCACATTTATCATCGGTTCAGCACTTGGATGGGTACTTGTGAAAATCACAACAACTCCTATACAACTCCATGGTCTTGTTATTAGTTGCTGTGCTGCAGGTTAACTACGGAATAGTACTTTTTATTTGAGTTTAAATTATATGCACTGATAGTGTAAAGACAAGGAATGTTTTACTACTACTCAAACTCATATATCAGAAATTATTGAATTAGGAGTGTTTGTTTTTTTCTAGGGAATCTGGGGAACTTGCTTCTCATTATAATTCCTGCAGTTTGTGTGGAGAAAAATAGTCCCTTTGGAGATTCAATTACATGTTCCACCAATGGAAAAGCCTATGCATCACTATCAATGGCGGTACCTCCACAGCTTTCTCATAAATCGCAATCACCCCTTCACACACTTTTTCTACCCTTTGCATCCTTATTTTGGGTTCTTGTTCGGTGGTGGATCTAAAATTTAAACGATGTTGGTCCTAATTAAGTTGAAGAGTGGATTCTTAAATTTATACTTATGAAATTCTATTTATACTTGACCCTAAAGAAGTTTGAATATTAGCCTCTAATTTGGGTTTCATATTGTGTAGATAGGAGCAGTCTATATATGGACTTATATCTATAACATAATTCGAGCATATGGAGTCCAACATAATACCTCAACTGCCAACATAGAGGATTCTGGTGAAGTACCAGAGTTATCGTCCAATAGCTGCACAAAATTGTTATCTTCACAGGATAGCCTACAATCTGATATGGACCATGAAGCTCAACTTGCAGTACCTCTCATTGGATATGAAACCACACATGAGGTTCTTTTCTGTTTATCATTTAACATAGAGTTTCACTTTTACGCACTGACAGCGTTTTACACTGTCAAGTCACCTAAAACATAACTACAAGTAACCATTTAAGTTAGACAACTCTTGTAAGATAATTAAGCATATGACCTTTCATGTTAGCATAACTCTTTATTCCCTTCTCATTCTGTTTCTTAGCTCAACCAGAATTCCCCAAAGGAAATTAGCTCCTTTGTTCCTTTATATATATTTGGTTGTACGTACTAAACATTGCTTCGAATGTTGTATAGGGACATTTTGTTAGGAAGATCAAACAACATATCAAAATATGGACGGAAAGGATCAATCTCAAAATGTTGTTTGCACCCTCAACGATTGCGACGGTACGACCACATTACTCCTCTGATTTATGCATACTTTCTACAGTATTCAGAATCCTATGTATCAGAATAACACTCATTAATTTGACGCTATAAACTGCACACTGGCAATTGTAATCTCTACAGATTGTTGGAATCATCATTGGTGTAACGTCCCTGTTAAGAAAGCTGATGATTGGAAATGAGGCTCCATTGCATGTGATTGATAGCTCTGCATCTATGCTAGGGTATGAAGCCTAATTAAATGAGCTTATAACAAAGCTGAATGGCTTGTATATATGACAACTCACTCAATGCTACGTGTTATGCGCTGCAGAGAGGCTGCAATACCAGCCATGACATTGATAGTTGGAGCAAATCTTCTTAGAGGTAATTCCTGACAGTAGAAGATACATTAAACTTAGATGGTTACCAAAAATTCTTTCTTATGTGATTTAATAATATGGAAATTTATTTACGCTATAAACTCAGTCGTGTATTTATTTTTAAGTGCAAGGCTGAAAAAGTCAGCAGTAGGTATGCGGGTTGTGATAGGCATACAGGTAGTACGTTATGTGGCAATGCCATTATCAGGCATTTGTGTTGTCCAAGCTGCACGCCATTTGGGGTTGGTTGGATCAGATTCCTTATATCAGTTTGTGCTTCTCCTGCAATATGCACTTCCTTCTGCAATGACTATAGGTACTGAAGAATTAAATCAAGCACATAGTTTACAGGATCATCATATTCAAATAGTTTAATCACATGTTAATACACGAACTAAACTATAAATTTCACTCTATGATCGTACCTTGTTACAGAGGTTCGTTTCAAAATTTTCATAGAAGAAATCTTCACAGGAACACTTTATAATTTTGAGAGAGGAGAAGGAGAAGCAACTTTCTGATGACAAAGAAGGGAGAATAAACTGTGGAGGAGTTCTATGGAAGGAACTCCTTTTTATAGAACAAAACCGACGCAACTTTTAGGAAGAGTCCTGCCGATGTGTCTCTTCTCATATTATTAATATTAAATATATAACTAATTATATATTTTCTTATATTAACTTACACGTTTCAATTTATGGGAACCTATTTTTTTTTAGTCCGTGCAAAAAAGAATTACTTCTTTCCATATTTAAAAATAATTTACCTCTATGCAATGATTTATAGCCACACAAAATATATATGCCTCATTTTACACAACAAGTTCAAAAGTCCTCTCTTATTTCTTAAACTCCGTGTCCAGTCAAATATTGTTCACATAAATTGAAACGGAGGGAGTATTTTTTTGACATGGATCCGGGTTGACCCGCATGGGTGGCCCGCATCTAATTTCCTTCAGGTACTATATACTCCATCATTAATCAGCACTACTATCTCTCTCTCCTTGTTTTTTCTATATACCTAATAGTTTAAACAATTTGATTATGGTTATATGTAGCTATTTTTAGATTACGTGATAGTGTAAATATCTTTCATATTATCAATTTATAAAACGTTTTTGGGGGAGGATGTAAGACATTCTGTGTAATAATTTCTCACTTTAAATGCAACCTTTTTCCTAAATTTTTCCTCATTTTTTATTGGTAAAATGTGCAGGTACAATTACACAGTTGTTTGAAGTTGGTGAAAGTGAATGTTCAGTGATTATGCTATGGAATTATGCACTGGCATCAGTTGCACTTACTCTATGGACCACTTACTACATGTGGATTTTATCTTGATCAGTCTCTACAAAATATCATGTCTTTTGTTTTTGCCTGCGCTTTATTTTCGATTAGTTAAATTATTTGTATACTGTTAGTGTATAACTTAAACCTTTAGGGGTCGTTTGGTAGTTGGTTACATTATAAGTTATTTATGTATTAGAAGTAACATAACTAATATCATGTTTAGTAGCTTTTAGTTACTTTGTACAAAAATCAGCATAACTAATGTCATGTTTGGTTGCTTTTCCATTGGGAGTACCAATCTTAGGGTACGCGCTTTGCGCGTGTACCTATATCAATGAATATAAATTTTTTGAAAATTACATACATATTTTTATATAATTTGTTTGAGTTATAAAATTAAATTTAAGCTTTTTTTTAAATAATAAATATTATTCTCATTTAGTTAGCTTAACAAATGAAGAAATTTTATTTAGATGCTTAATTGTGATTTATCTGGACTTATGTCGAAACTTATAAAAATTGTTATTATTTATGTAACCTAATACTGAAAATAAAACATAAAATATTTTTTATCACAATTCTTTAAAGATTTGTCAAATAAAATAAATTAAAATTAAATCTTTTGGTCCTTTAAAAATTTAATGAATAAGTTGGCATTATGCCTTCTAGTGACAACGTAAAATTTAAAGAATGACTAATATTGAATTAATATTTTACAAGAAAAAACTTAGTATAAAAATTATAGCGAGATGTTTTCATTTGTTGGGCTTAATGCAAGAGCAAAATAATGACAACTCATTTATAATCTAGTTGTCTTCTACGATTTTATCTTATCGCTTAGGAAAAATTTAATAATAAAAGTTTAGTGGATTTTAAATCCTAAAATTTAAAAAAAAAAATTAAATGACTATTTTGTCTAGATTATTACCTCCTCATCTGCAAATGTAAGAATCCATTAAAGGCCTTTGTATTGTTGCAATTTAAAATTCTTTTACTAATCCACTTTAAATAAGTAAGATTCTTATTTAAAGTTAAATCTTTTTAAAGTATTGATCTGCACACATTCGGTTCAATTCTATTTGAATTAAGTGTGCACAAGTATTTTAATACCAACATGACAGTAAAGTCATATAAGTTAATCAGAATATTTTAAAATTTATTCAAAGATATACTTGAACTTATATTAAGGATGGAAAAGAGTAGAAAAAATTATTTTCAGATACACTCCTAATTAGTTTACATGAGTTGAACAATAAACACCAGCATATTACAAGTTTGCCCACTATCTCCACGTAATTTATTTGAAGATATTTTTATAATACCAAACATAGATTTATTTACATATTATTTAACTTGTCGACTTTTTTTGTAAACCACAAGTTTTATGCCAATTAGGCTATTATATCAAACATGCCAACTATGACATTGTACTCCTCCAGATCTCTTCATCATGACGGCTTCAAACAAAGCAATGACTAATATGTATGAATAGAATAAATATCAAAGAAAGGTTAAATAGTTAAATTAGCCTGTAATTGAAGTAAACTGGTACTTAAAACAGTTTCAGTTTTTGAGCTCAAAGAATAGAAAAAACTCGTAGATGAACTTCAACAAAGGCAACTTTTAAAACACACTAAATTTGTTTCCATGCGCAATGAAATTGTACTGTTTAGTAAAATTAATATTCCTTAAAATATTTATGATAAAAATGTGAAGTACCATGTTGATTCTATAATAATTATTTTTTATGGATAACAAAAATTACTTACCTACACCGATGAAACTATCAAAAAGGCTAGATGCAAGGACGCCAATTGCTCTATTCTGAAATAAAATAATTTTAGATCTCGTAATACGTATAATCAAATCATAAAGAGGTAATTAAGATTATTTTTTCTTACAAAATATGAGCACCTTAAGCTGGCATAGTAATTATTAATTATTAATTAATTATAAAATACAAGGTAACAATTAATCTTGAATTGATATGGTTAGAATATCTAACTGTTCTTTTATTACGGAATGCAATACTCCAAAACTTGCACAAAATTTGTAAATGGGTCAATTTTAATTGTATATGAGACATTGTAAATAAAAATCACAATTGACAACTTTTTAATTTACAATTACCTATTAAAAGCACAGGAATAATTATTATTACATAACTTCAAGAATAAACTAAAGGTTAGAAAGCTTAAATAAAATTAAGCAAATTTACCTCCAAAGACATCGACATTGTGAAGAGTTTATGATAGGCAGTTGCTAATCAATAGTTGCTAAATTCGTAAGAGGAAAATTCAATAGTTAAATTCTTCTATGAACCCACGAAATTTGAAGAGCTTCTTCCGACGGCCAATTGTATGATACCTATAATTATTAAGATGGAAATAAAAGTTGTTAAGAACAGAAAGATACATAATGAAAATAAAAGGCCGCTAGCAAAAGATTTGTAGCGTAAGGCAGTTTTGGTAAAGGAATCGCAAACCTAAACAAAGAAAGACACAACTACCTAATATAAATTTTGGTAATAGAATTCTAAATCCAAAGTGAATCCTAGACCTAAACAAAGAAAAGCAATATCCTACAAAAAAGGAAATAAATAATCATTTTTGGTTTTTTCTTGCTTGGCGTAATTTCTATGTACGTAGAATAAGAGAAACAAATTATAAACCAATTATCTGAATTGTATACGATAAATTTAATTGATTTTGATGTCCTAAATATTAGGAATATTTTTGTGTTGTTGTTCAAATAAGGAAAATTTTAATAAGTAAAGTTTTAGTTGACTTTAAATGCTAAATATTAGGAGAATAATTAAATAACTATTTTGTCTAATGTCACGACCCAAAATCCCACCACAGGCGTCGTGATGGCACTTAGTCTCTAAGACTAGGTAAGCCGATTACAATTATATTTCAAGCCATTTTTTTTTTAATATGAATTAAATAGGTAATCAAAACCAACAGCGGAAACAAATATGAAAACCTCCCAAGACTAGTAATACTGAGTCACGAACTCTAACTGAATACATAGAATGATCACGAAGACCGAATATACAATACTGTTCAAATAAGAAATTAACAGTACAATAGAAATAGAAGGACTCCAAGGGACTGCGACGACCAAGCAACTCTACCTTAAGTCCTTGAGATCACCCTCTAACTTCATTCGAGTCTGATATATCCAATACCTGGCTCTGCACAAAAATATACAGAAGTGTAGTATGAATACACCACGGTCGTTACCCAGTAAGTATCAAGACTAACTTCAGTGGAGTAGTGACGAGGTACAGTCAAGACACTCACTAGTCTAATAACTTGTACAATATAGTATACAAAATAATAGAAAACAAATAACAATAAGGGCAACACAAATCAACCAGTGATATGCACAGCAGGGCAACAAGAACACAATTAATATCGCTCAACAAATAATAAATACAAGTACACCCAATTAAATCAAGTCCTTCAAATAAATATCTTTCACATATAATTCTATCAATAAAACTCTTTCAAATAAATATCTTTCAAATATAATCCTTTCAAATAATATTTTTTGAATAAAAATCCTTCAAAATAAATATTTTGAAGATAACTTTTTCAATTAAAAGTCACCATGTGAAACCTCATTTCATAATCATAAAAACAATACGGGTCTGAGCCCATTTTCATATTTTTCATAAATACGGGTCTCAACCCACTTTCATATTTCCACGGCACTTTGTGCCCATAATTAAATCACCATATTTTTCCGGCACCTCGTGCCCACTTTTTATATCACAGCTGCACGGACAATTCACATGCCAATAATAAAACCATCATATTTTTTCCGACACCTCGTGCCCACGTTTCATATCTGTTGCGGCGTGCAACCCGATCCTATATAACATTACCTGCCCGGCAATAGGCACAAACTCACAATTTCAACATAAATCAGGCTATTATCAAGTTTACCTAAACAACAAGACAAGTTGCATAAGATATAAAAATAAATACAAGGAATTCCCCAACATCACATGAAAATTACCAACATAATAACTCCACATCATCACATATCATCCTTGACAATAGCCACCCTTATCACTCCTATAGCCACCCTTATCACTCCTATAATAGCCTTTCTTATCCCTCCGCCCTAACAATATCAATAGCCACCCTTATCGCTCATATAGCCACCCTTATCTCTCCTATAGCCACCCTTATTGCTCCTATAGCCAATCTTATCTCTCCTACAATCACCATTATCGCTCCTATAGCCACTCTTATCTCTCCTACAATCACTCTTATCGCTCCGCCCAGACAATATCCTAACACACATAACAATAGTGAAATTGTGATGACCCAAAATGTCATCTTTAAATTTAATAAGTAATTCTGTGTTTTAAGACCTCGAAAAGCACCATTTATTATTCCTCGACTTACGTGCACAGTCCGTAAAATTTTTTAGAAAGTTTTTATGTGAAAAATGGACTAAATATAAATTAGAACTTTAAAAACTCAACTGAGTTGACTTTAGTCAACATTTTGAGCAAACGGACCTGGATCAGTATTTTAACAATTCTGGTAGGTCCGTATCATGATTTAGGACTTGGGTGTATGTCCGAAATCGAATTCTGAGGTCCCTAACTCGAGATATGAAATTTTGAAAAAAGATTAAAAGTTTGAAAGCTTAATGATTTTTAAGAAATTACTGATATTGGATTTATTGACTTCGGGTCCGTATTTTAGTTCTGGAGCCCGGTGTAGGTCCATTATAATATTTATAACTTGTCTGCCGAATTTGATGAGAATCGGAGTTGATTTGACGTGATTTAGACATCTGGTTGTAAAAATATAAGTTTTAAAGTTTTCTTAAAAATTTCCTTTGATTTGGTGTCTGATTCGTAGTTCTTGGTGTTATATTCGCGATTTGATCGCGCGAGCAAGTTCGTATGATGTTTTAGGACTTGGGTGCATGTTTGGTTTGGCGCCCCGAGGGCTCGGGTTGGTTTCGGATGGTTAACGGATCATTTTCGGACTTAGGAAATCTAGTTTTCTGCAGATTTCAGGCTTCTGGTGTGTTCTTCTTCGCGTTCGCGAAGGTACTCTCACGAACACGAAGAGCAAATTAGAGCTGGCACGTTTTGTGCTTCGCGTTCGCGACAGATTGACCACGTTCGCGACAGATTGACCGCGTTCGCGAAGGCCTGGGGTTCAAAGCTTCGTGTTCGCGACCGAAGCCTCGCGTTCGAGAAGGGAAAGAGGCTGGCCAGGATTATTGCCTTCGCGTTCGCGAAGGCCAAGGTG